ACAGCTGACGTTTATCACAATTTAGCTCATTGAAAATTATTTTAAACTAGCTAGAGAGAGATGTTATATAAACAGACAGACAGACATATATATAGAGATGCGTATACGTGTACCAAAATAAAAAATACAGACATCTTTTCAGTCTTTTTTTACGTTATTTTAGATCTTTCTTTAAAATTGTGAATACGAGACTGACATTACAATAAGTTACCAACTGAAAGATTTGTTGTAAGTAACATCCCGATGTTAAATGAGTAAAATTAAGGTTTTATCGAGTGCAAACAAGACATACATGTTTTATTATTATTTCTATGAACGATTTACTATTATTTTCACCGTTTTCAGTTCCTCTATTATTTTCACTATCTTTGGTTTTAATTATTCCAAATGTATGTGAAGTTACTGAGCAAAATTTTAACTAACATTTGGTAGTTTTAAAGTCGCCTCTGATGTGTCGTTCATAAACCACGATGGATGTAGAAACAAGATTGTCATTTATATGTGTAGAAAGATAAAGAAAACTTGTTAACAAATTTTCTACTTCACCGGTTTATAGCTGTAAATAATTCATTAAAATAATGAGTAATATATTTATTTCATCTAAATAACTTTAAAATAATTATTTGTTTAATTTTTTATTTGTCTTTGTGCACTCAACGAATGCGCTTGCTTCCAACAAAAGCACTATTAGAGGGGATCCTCTGAAGGGTATAACGCATGACGTCATAATTTCTGGGCATGTTAGTGACGTCAACCCTTTCATGAGAACGCTGTTAGACATTTTTTTTCCCCTTTCACTTTGAGCTTCAAGCCGTATTTCTTAATAATGTATCTAAATTTTCAGACGTATTTTACATAATGTCAACACTTTTTCTGTTGTTCGTGATAAACGTGACGAGACAACAGTGATGAACAATTTGCTAATAAGTCATGCATAAATCGGATACACTTAGCTGCAAACGCTGTTGTTGGGCAAGTCAGCTAATATTTTAGAAGTGTAGGATTGATTATTTTTAACACCTGAAGACGCACGTTTTTTAATCGATCGAAGCCACTTTTCTAAGAATAAACTACAATGAATTTTATTACCTTAATTCACAATAACCATAAACAATTGCTTGGTTAAAATTTTTGTATTGTGTGTGAATATATATATATTTATATTGTATGCAATTGTATTATTTAAAAAACAGGATAGAGAATATTTAATTTTTTTGCATGAACTGGGATATTTCTTGCTTTGATATTCTTGTCTTATTCTTACTTGGTAAACATCATATTACAGTTAAGCAAGTTGTGAACGACCAACTTTCAAATTGGCTGATTGTTCGTTCAAGTCTGGGAATAATAGGCCACTTGTTCTTGATATCACTTTCCAGTACATTCATGTTGTAGTAAATATTTTAAAACGCCCACAGTAATGATAAAAGTTACATAGATAATCTTAGATCAGATGCTTTTTCAATAGATGGTTGTTTTTGCTGTATTGTGTTTTAACTATAGAACTCTCCTCGTGAACAAATTAGATTGTTTTTTTTGTTTCGCAAAATATCTTTCAACTGCCGTTTGAAAGAGCAGTGTAAAGACTAGACATGTTTGAA